CATTTTCACTGGCACTTAAAAATCCAATTTTTATAACACATTCAATATATTAATAAATATCAGCAATTTATCCTCATAAATTTGCACTCCTGTTAAAAGCCCATCACCAGCCAAAATAAAAATGAGATTAGTATTCCTAGTTTGGCAATGTATGGGGGTGCTCCAAAAGCAATGCCTCCTGTTTTATTATGTTGGCCCACAATGCCAGAGGCCAGATGTCAGAGGTATGGCAGTAGAGGCTGAACCTTCCAGCCAATATTCAGTTACATTTTGTTGCTGCACAACAGACAGCAGCAGAGTGGCAGTCTGACAAAGCAAAGATGTGTCACTGAATTGCTTTGTGCAGAAAAAAAATGGCACCCTTTGACATGCATTGATGTTTGCTGAATGTTTATGGAGACCAAACAGTGAATGTGAGTGAGTGATGTGTTTCAGCAGTGGCAACAGCAATTCACATCCATTGGTGTAGATGCGTATGAGCACAGCATGCAGGTTGTTGCTCATCGCTATTAAAAATGTAGAGCTAACGGTGGTGACTGTTGAAAAATAGTTTTTGATAGCAGAGAATTTTCTCTATATATCTGTTGTAGTTTCCACAGAAATAAATTGGAGACATTACTTTCAACATGATCTATGTACCACTATCAATTACTTTATGCCATTGTCCATCACCAGGAACCTTTGATGTGGCCCACTGATTCATAGGAAAGCCCATTTAGTTCACTGCATACATTCATGTATAATTGGGCAATAAAATTTTTTAGTAGCCATTCCCTCTGACTTTTCTTTGAAATTCCACCAAAAATTCCCTCATTTCCTGAAATATGATGATTATTTTTCCATATATGTCTAAATCTAAGATATGTAAGAAGATAGCCTTTTAAAACACAGGCATGCATTCTAAAGCATGACTTGTGAAACTGAATTACCAACAAGTGCCAAAATAGAGTTTACTATGTGCAGTGAGTAACAAGGCTCAAGTTTTTGTTTTAGGATGCTTATGGCATTGACAAAATATGCTGTAAGGCCTGAAAAGGCTATCTGAAGTATGATAATGTGAGCTAAAATAATCATTACGTCACCTACACTGTTGTTCCAAGCCAAATGACAGGTTAAAGCACTTGAAAGAAGAGACAAAAGAAAATGAAAGCCATTGGAAACTTAAAAAAGAAAGAGTACCAGAGAAAATATTTTGATAAATTAGGATGAAAGCACTTGAAAGACACTAAGGATGTTTACATCAGAACTGAAACTAAGTGCCAAGACACTTGAAACATCTATTTGTGTAAGTGCAAAAAGCATTCATTAGAACAGGATAAATGTCAACATACTGGGCAGTACACTTCATCCAATCTTGAATATGACCTTAAGTCATAAGAAGGAAAAGAACAAAAGCAAAATGTTTGCACACTGTGAATTAAGGTAACAATACTCAAAACAGAGATACGTGAAGAATCTATTGAAATTCCACAAAGAGGGAGAAGCAGGCATTACATACTGATGAGAGGTATGATTGGTGCCTAACAAACACGCTGTTCTATGTCCGAGAGTTTGAAATATAATTACATTATTTTGTAGAAATGATGCACATACAGTACCATTCTGCAAGAGGAAGCCAAGAGCAGCCAATTCATCATTTTACCTCTTCTCCACTCCATTCTGATCTTAAACATCCACTCAGTACATATGCACACCCTAAGTTTTTCAAATCAAAACACCATTTTAGAACCAAAACAAATGTTGGTGCCTAACAGTTTACATCCACCACTGATCTACAGCTATATTAAATGGGAAACAAGGGACAACAGAAACTCTCTCCTTCCTTTTGAAATATTTCATAGTAGGAGACACTGCTGCGTTAGTCAGTCACAATACATACAAAACTTCATGGCTTTTAAACTAACAAGCACATCAGAAAAAGAGATCAACATCTGTTACAAGGCTAAACCCACTTTTTCCATTTTTAAGGTGATTAAACACTGTTTCTTTTCAAAATTAATACTCCTAATGTATTGCTTTATCTGATAGATTTCTGCCTGATAAAGTTATGCAAGAATACATTTGTTTCCTAATGAATAAAGCAGGTAACAACACCTAAAAATTCCCCAAGATCACCAGGAACAGAATGTGTTCAGAAGAAATGAGCTAGTAGGATTTTCTTGATTGTTTTTAATTTCACCAAGCTTAAAACTTTCTTATTTTACCTGGGGGAATAAACATTCATTCACTTGTTTGTTCTCTTGAAAAGTAAATTATTCCCTTGTAGAACAGTGGGATATTTCCCTTACCTCTTCATTAGCACCAGTTTACCGAAACAGTTACGCAAAATCTGAGCACTGCAGTGCCCTGCAGTTACAGAAATAAACAAGGTTTGCATTTCTCAACATTCAGCAGTTCTATACAGCAGGTCCTAAGGCTGGAGCTTCAGCATTATAAACACAAATACATGGTTAGTCATTGAGAAATAAAAAAATACATTATTCTGCTAGTCTATAGAAAAAAAATAACTTTTACAGTAACTGTTTGTCCTCTGGAAATGAATTATAGATGTCACCCAAAGCATTCATTACTGGCTCTGAATGCAGATATACATGCAGAAGCTACTCGAAGGTGATTCCACATCATCTCAAGTCAGGCAATTGGGAGTTTGATTTTCAGAATTACAGAAGATATAAATAGTACTGAAGTCTACAGTTTATCAGTGTAAGTTTGCTACTTTGTCTGCTTATTGTTTTCTATGAAAAGCATCATATCTCACAAACCACACATTGGCCCCATCTCTTATTCTCCTGTAACCTCCATCTCAACACATCTTCTTATTGCAATAATGCCTCCTGTAAACAACGTTCTACGCTTTCTCCGCTTTCCTACTCCCTGTTCCAGCAATGCTATTCATCAGCACCAAGAGAAAGTATTGAAACTGAAATTTCATCAAGTGGATTCAAGGTGCAAGAAGAACACCATTCTTCAAGCCAGCTGCCTTTGTGACACTTTTCAAACTCAAAACCAAAGCATAAGGGATTGGCAGAGATACTGACAATAGGAGGGCATCAAAATCCACAGATGACTTAGAACTTATTCAGCACAAGCATTAAAATGGTAGCTATCATTTTACTTCTACTTGAGTCAATACCAGTTTAACATAATCCTCTGGTCTTTACATTACAGACTCTGGTAGTAGAATTGCAGGAAAAAATCTTACTCAAGAGTAACGCTTTGAACTGTGAATATCCTTACTGAAAAAAAAATAAAATCTATTTATCTCACTGAAAGTGAAGTGCTTTCTCCACTTATCTGTATTTGAAATTGTCACCTACCTACTGTACATGAAAGATTTCTCACCACATCCCTCCATAGCTGCCCCCTTTCAGACAGGCACCTTTTTGCAGCATACCATATTGTGCATTTATTACTATGGAACACCATCAGTTATTATTTTCTTTCTGTAGAGACTGGGCACCTTAGACACATGCAAGCTGAAAGTATTGCAATTTTTGGCATGAACATGCTCATTAATCACAGTTGATTTCAAATCCGGAGTAAAATCATCATTGTGGCATTCTCAGACAGTCACAAAAGACAAAAAGATACAGATGTAAAATCCATCACTGAGAAACAGCAGAAAAGAAAGGAAGAACATCTCTGGCTTTGCACACAAGTATGCCATCATTTGATTTTGTGAATAACTATAACGTTATTTACAGGAAAATTTATTGCATCGTGATAGAAAATCTTTCTCTATGCATCATACAAGCATGATGCATGGGATAAATTCACACTTCTTATGAAGGTTTTCCTGCTGACACCGTAACTCTGTAACTCCCAGTAATTTAATTTGCAGCGTAGCCTCAGACTTGGCACTCTGGATATGTGTTTATTGATGTTCCTTTAAGAACTTATTCATATAACAAAAGCCTAATGTATAGAATCAACACAATTACTAATAAAAAAGTCTCATTACATTGAACAAATTGAATTTTTTCCTCAAAAATCAGTGAGAAATTCAAAGGAACAATTGCAGCTCAGGATCTAGATCGTGGATCACACAAGAATACTGTACTCCCTCGATACAGCGACACTCATATCAACTTCAGAACTCTCACATGGTGCCCTCCTTTCTGAAATATATCTTCTTACATGCCTCACCTACTATTCTGTTTAGAGAGACAGCGTTTGAATAAGTAATCCTTGTCTTCTTCAGATCCCTTCTGCCACCTTCAAGAGCAAACAGATGGCTAACACAAAAATTCAAAAGAAAACAAACAAGTATTCACTTTACAGTCACTTCCGCTCTTTGAGCTGTTCTGCCCATACAGCTTCCACTTGGTATCACAGTACAGCACTGGTCTTCCCTGAGCTCCAAATGGCACATGGGAGTGCAGTGTTCTGCATTCTTCAAGTTAAAGTAAAGGCAGTAGCTATTTGTGCCTCTGTGTAGCTTTTCGTGCATGTAAAGTTACCCCAAGCTACTGTGCAAGAGATACATTATCTTGAACCACGTTACAGATTAAAGAGCTTCCTAGTTGTTCAACTACCTTTTTTAAAAGAAAAAAAAAAAAAAATAGAAAATAAAGTTAACTTCACAGAATCATAGAAATATAGAATATCTTGGGTTAGAATTGTCTTGGATTGGAAGGGACCTCAAAGATCAGCAAGTTCCAACTCCACTGCCGCAGAGACTTGAAGTGAGCTATTAGATTAATTTAGTTCAACTGAACATTACCCATATTTATAGAAGGAAACAATAATTGTGTTCGTTTTGTGCCATGTTCATCTCTGTGCTTCAAAAACATTACAGAGGTTTATATAAACAAATAGCAACAAAATCAATGACAAATGCAAAATTCTTCAAAATAAGATTTCATCAAAAGACCAGGATATTGAGCAGCTTAGTAATAATTGCACATTCAACCCAGGAAACATCCACAATATGGTGGGGGGGAAAAAAAAAAAAAAAAAAAAAAAAAAAGCAAAGAAAAGAAAAGAAAGATTTCCATTACCTTACAAATCCTTATATCCCATGCTTTAACTTCTGGACTGAATCCTCCACAAATGAAAACATTCGAATCTGTAGGGTGGAACTTCAGTGTGCTGATTCTAAATTCATTTTTACTGCTGATGATTTGCCTCCCTAAAATAAAGTGAGAACTGAAAATTAGAATTTGATTGAAAAAAAAAAAAAAAAACTAATTTCAACCAAGTTTCAAAAATACCTAGGTTGTTAAAGGTGAATGTTTCTATTTGAACATTTCAAGTGTCTGGGACTCCTCTGGTTTTCTGAAAACATAAGATTGAAATCAGTAATTTCTTCCCACATTAAACAAATCCTGTACCACTGACTGCTTTTTACTGACAGAACTTTTTACTGAGAGGAGAGAATCAGAAGGTTGGCAAACGAAGGAGAGGAGCACCACCAAAGTCCCCATTCAGCTGATAAGGCTAAACCTCCTAAATCTAATAGAAGAATATTTCCCAAAAAGAAGTCACAGTCTTTCTTTTATCAGTGGGATGAAAATAATAACCATAAGAAAAGAGTACTGTCCATGCAATAAATCCCACATTCCAAAATGTACTACAGCTATGGAGTGGTTTATATTTCTGTGAAGGGAGGATTGAGCCTCCAACTTGAAAGAAGGCAATAATTTGCATATCTTATGAAGGCAATAGCTGTTCCCATGGATACACTGTTCCCAACGTTTAATTGTTCACGCTAATCTTCACAGGATCCTGTGGCTAATATCAATTGTATTGTACACTCTTTCAAAGACAACAGAATTTGTCAAGGTTAATTTATAGGACTTTTCCACAGTCCACTGCCTTTGTTCTAACAAATTCATGACATTAATGTACATTCACTGAACTATTATTTTTGGACTAGCAGCATAGATAAATACTTCATTTCACAATTTCAACTGTGTGTTATCTTCCATATATCAGATGGAGCAGCCCTTCAGTATCTAAAGGGAGGGCTATGAGAAAGAAAGGGGCAGACTCTTTAGCAGAGTCTATTGTGACAGGACAAGGAGAAATGGTTTCAGACTAAAACAGGAGAGATTTAGGTTGGATATAAGGGATATAAGGGATAAGTTCTTTACAATGGGGGGGAGGGGGCAGGGGGAGGCACTGCAACAGCTTGCCCAGAGAGGTGGTAGATGACCTGACCCCTGAGACATTTGCTGGACAGGGCTTTGAGCACCTGATCAGGTGTAGGTGTCCCTGTTCATGGCAGGGGAGTTGCACCACAAGAATCTCTTCCAACTCAAACAATTTTATAATTCTGTGATTATAAAGTTACAATGAAGAAGCCACTGGAGAAGGAAGTATTAGGAAGGAAAGCTTATACTATTACAAAGCTTCTCAAAATATTCATTAATCCAGATTTTCAGCAAGTGAGAGACGCCTTAAGAGTCTTAAACAACTGAAAGTACTTTGAGCTAAAAACATTAGCGATGAGTGTAAATATTTCCGGTTAGGCCAACAACACTGAAAATTTAGCTTTTTTCATGCTTACTTTATGGTTTAGAGCCAATTAATTTGATTTCATCATCAGTTCCACTTTCACCATCTGCTCAAATAAGCTTACACAGTCAAGAGAATAAGGCTTGTCAAATTATTTACTTATTCATTGTAAAGAAAAGAAGAGATAGATTGTACTTCATCACGTGCGTACTCTTCGAGCTGGCACTGGCAAGGAAAATAGACTGCAGGGATTTTAAGGAGAGGAGTTTGCTGCTCCTCTCATGTTGCACATGAACATCGTTTGCTTTTTTTCTTTCTCCTTTTTTAACGGTTCAATCTGTGTGATCTCTGATCATCCATGCAAGATCTAAAGATTCTCTCTATCACTACTGAGGGGAACACTTAACTCAATCCTCAATATTCCTTCCCCCAAAAGAAAAAGAAGGTCACAAAGACAGCAGAGGCCTTCTCTTCAAAACGTGTGCAACACTGATCATCTTTCTGGGAGCTTGTAGCATCCTAACAACGAGGTAAGAGAAAAAAGACTCCATGGAAAAGGAAGAACTTATTAAAATCATCTGTAATAGGAGCAACAAAACGTTACTCTAATCTGTGCCACTAACAGGCATCATTTGAAGGCTAGCAAAAAGCTGCGTAACTACGCATCTTACTCAGTCCTACAAATTACTTGAAAAAAATTACTGAATTTGCACACAGAGGCTCTCTAGTTGGTTTAAAAGCACTTTGCTTCCAAGGAATTATGTTTGTGTAAATTTAACAAAGGAGTTTAAACCATGTTTATATGGTACTGTAATCAGAAATTTGAAAAAGTACAGCCTACTTGTACTACCCTTTTCAAACAAGAATTACAACATGAGATCAAGCAGTCTGATCAAGCATACCATTCAAACAGTATTGCATATATATGCAAGTCGCTCTGAAAGTAGTGCCTCCTTTTTATTTCCGTGGAAACTACAACAGATACAAAGAGCACAAGAACACAATTTGATAGGGTAGTTCTCAGCTACAAAACACTATTTCTCAACATAGTCACCACCATTAGCTGTGCATTTTCACCAGCCATGAACAACAGCCTTCATGCTGCGCTCATAAAAATCTGCATCAGTGGAGGTCTGTCCCTGTCATTATGCTGAACAAACTCCCCACCACCACATTGTGCTCACATCCACTGCTTGGTCTCCACAAACATTCAGCAATGTCAATGGGTACAATTGTTTCCACATGGAGGAACTTAGTGACACATCTTTGTTTGCAACACAATGTTGCAATGTAACTGAATATTGGCAGGAAGGTTCAGCCTCTACTACCATACAGCCAACAACCATCTCTGATGTTGTGAGCCAACAGAATAAGCAATACTTTTGCAGCAGCCCTCATATTTAAAGACCCAGTGGAACTTGTCATCTTGAACCCTGAAGAACATTAACTGCTCAACTGAATTTACTGAGATCTAGTTTTACCTCCACAAGACTTCTGTCTGTTAAAATTAAACACACTCAACTTCCGGGGGCCTTATTTTATATACTGCAAAAGATGTTCTTTGAGCAGAAGACTCCCTTATCTGCAATAGAGTACAATGGTTGTAAATCAGCAAGCTTGTATATATCTTTATTGTGTATTTACTGCATGTTAGTTCCTACAGATAGTGTATCAAAGGCCCGACCAAAACTCATCAAGTACAGAAAATCCTATTTTCTGAAACTTGATTTGGCTAGGGAAGCCACATGATCATTTTCCTCAGTGAAGACTGTTATTCCAAAGCAAACAGTTCCCTCAATCTTTAATTTTCGCATTTTTAGTAACAATACCTACTACATCTTTGCATTGTGTTTTGTACAGTACTTTAATTCAATTCTTCATTCATTAAAGGCTCACCAGCAACATACACAGTGTGAAAATATCCTTAAAGAGATCCTGAACATATGTTTCTGCTCATTTTATGCTGCAACCTACTGTGAAACTGCTCAACTATGAAATCAGATATTTTAAAGGCTATTTAACATCGTGAATTTTTCACAGAACATCAGAACGGTTATTGAGCACAGGATGCTTCTGTAACTGTGTTGAGTGGTCCTAAGGTTCACACTCCTACCTGCATAATACAAAACATTCACTTCCATACACTAATCAGTAAAGAAAAGTGGCAAGGACATGAGAGTAATTTTGCAAAGTAGATTAGATTTCCCTACTGTGTTTACAAAAAGACATGAGACAATACTTTAAACAAAAAAACAAAAAAATCTCATTACAGTGACAACCTCTCTCTCATGTACAACATTGAGAAGAAAATTAGATTGATCAGACATGATTCGTTCTTAACAAATTGATGTTGACTGTTACTTGTCCCTCTTATCTTGCTGTGATTACAAATTGTTTAGTTATTTCTCCAAGGAGTAAAGTTACACCAATTACATGTATTTCCTATTTGTTTTTCCCTTACGTTGTCATAAATTTTTAGTACTTCAGCTATTAAATCTTTTACCTTTTGTCCTTGGGAACATTTCAAAAATAACCTCTCCCCCTTCTTAAAAGGAATTCACACTTCTGAATATAAAGACTAATGAAGTGCTACCTCCTCGCTGGAGGATGACCACTAAAGCATGTTCAACATATTATTCAAAACTGCTGGATTTTTGGGTGGACTGTTGTGACCTCTCAAACATGTCCGTGCACATTCAAAAGGCTAAAATAAAATAATCTATTAAATGTTATTTTTTGTGAGATGTCACATAAAATATTCATGCTAGTACTATCATGCTATTCATGCCTAGTACCATATACACAGTAGTAGAAAAAAAAAGGTAGGAACAGGAGGAGAAAGTCACAGCACTCCCAACTTGATGTTTATTTATGAACACTAAATTTTCTATCTGAGCAAACGGAATTACATTAGCAATAATCTTGTTATAACTATAGGGCTAACAAACTTGAATAGAAAAGAAAACAGAAAAGTACATGTGGACCATCCTCATGAAGGTACAAAATATCCCATTAACAAACTCTCAACATAATTTAAAATAAAATAAATTTAAAAACAGCAAAAAATAAAACAGATGCGAGTGACCCAACCATATCTCACCACATAAATAAAAAATTTCTTTCCAAACCAATGACTACATTTCAGTGCCCTGCCTATGGAAATGTGAAATATTTCAAAATAATTTAAATTCCCCCACTGGAACTCTGAGCATGTTACATTTGAAATCAAGCTCAGTACATGAAGAGAAATACAATTGTAGCTTTTGGCAACTTGGGAAAAGTGCCGAAGTTTCTTGGAACATTCCCTCTCTCATAATATTAAAGAATGAAAAGTATCTATAATACGCAGATAAAATTAATCCAGCCACTGTTCTGCCTATGCTATTAGTGTTTGCACTGTTTCATTTGTGACTAACGAAAAAAATCCACTTATGAATAAAATATTCCAAGAATAAAATAGATATAAATAACTTTTAAAAATATAACTCCCCTTCTAAAATGGGTAGAGAATTTGCACTTCATTTGGATGTAACAGAAGGTAAACGTCAAATGTGTCTGACCTTGAATTGTTTATAAAATAAATTTTGTTAGAATAAAATGTTCAGTGCTCTCTCAGAATATTGATTGCCATTCAGTGAAGAAACAAAGCACTATCAGAATTGTCACTAGTAGAACAGGAATATAAATGCACTGCAAAACGTACACAACCAAGGAGTCCTGTTGGTTCACATGCTGCAGTACCAATCTCACATTTCTGAAACCTTTCAGAAAGTTTATTTTTATAATGAAAAAACACAAGTGAAATAGAACAACTAAAAATATCAATCATTATTCTTCACAAGCAACTCATTTTTTGGATTTACTAATATTTATGAACATCCATACTGCAGCTCTGAACTTTCCCCATGCTAATTGTTGCCACAGAACTGCTTCCATGAATAACTGAATTCCTGAAATATTTTATGCATACTTCAGATCAGACCTATACTCTGCAGAATAGAAACTGTTTCCATGAAAACCAAAGGTGTAGAGAGTCATAACAGGTGTTAGAATAGTGAATGACCATTTATGATAATAAAAAATAATTACTTTTGATGAAAAAGTTGTAGCAGTTTTTACAACACGTATGTAATATTGGGAAAAAAAATGTACTGAAAACTAAAATAAGAAAGATTAAAATTCAAAGTTGACTAAAATGTTGAGACAGAACAATATGCACAAGAAATGAGCACAGAAACTTAAAGACAGCATTATTTATAAAATCCCATCAGTACGCATTTACTGCATTTAAGGCCATTGCTAGTTAGTTCAGTCTAGCTATGGAAAGTAATTAACAATGATGTCCAAAAAAGCATATAAAAGTCCTCTGTGAAGAAACAGTTCTACCATGTATCTGAAGTTAATGAAAGAAGAAATCATTTCAGTACAAATGAACAGCAAGGAGGAATGAATGATTCAGTGAATTAATGTAAATCAAAATCTTATAGGAGCCTTAGAGTTTTTCAAATGGAAATGAGTCTTTTTATATCAAATTGATTTGAATTCCAAAGGCAAACTGCTTGCCCGGTTTCTTTGGAAAGAATTAACTGAAATTATGAAAAAGAGTAACTTTACAACAGAGAAGGAAATGGCCTGGATGTGTATGAAATCTGAATAAAATTCCTACCCCTTACTCTCAGTTTCCAAGTCAGGTGAATATCAATGAAAGCCAGTTCGAAATATCAACAGTAGAAATGCAGTTGACAGAAGAAACCCTGTATTCATAAAATAAGGCAATAATGAACACTCTCTATTTTAAATGATTCTGAAAACTCGCTATGCCTTTGAACACAGAATTTACTCATGCAGCAAGGAATAGCTCAGAGGTCAGTAAGGAAAGAGCCAGCTATAAGCTCAGCTGTTTTGAAACTCATGCTAAAAATTATGCTAACTATTGCTATTGTTTCCATCGCCTAAAAACACTAGAAATACCTTCTTTCTAATAAAATAAACAACTACCATTCCATTCCTGGACAGTTACATGAGCAATTTTCAAAATTAAAATAGATCATTACACTTATGTACCTTTGGAATTTTTTCAATAACTTTAGAAAACAAGACTTTGCCCTGGCTGTCCTTTCAAATGGCTCAGGCACATAAAATGTGTTCTGTCACTATAAATCCCCTCAGTGACAGAAGCCATTCTGTTCTAGATTTATAAGCACCCCTGTCAAAAGTTAAATCCACATAAATTAGTAAATTACAGTTATATATGAGTCTGGAAACAAGAAGACTGCTACAATTAAGGCTGAAAATAAGATATAAAGTCTTGTAGTATAAATGGCTTGGTATATTACTTCATGTAACACTACTACATCAGATACATAACATTCTTCTTACTGTTAAAACCATGAATATTCTGAAAACACCAATATTGTATAACTGTGTCACATGTTTTACAGTATCTCCCTTCCAGCCATCACTGAGTTTAAAAACTTCTTTGGGTGAGAAATAGTGAAAAAAATAAATTCCTAGAGCATGGAAGAGAACCTTGCCTTGATGTGAACAATATTCACAAATTTCCTTAACCATTTTCTCAGTATTCCCAGTTTATTTAATTCTCTGGATACTTCCATACAAATTCCTTCTTAATTTTATATAAGATAAAACCCTCTTAAACAAAATCTTCTTGTCATTTTTGTCTGGATGTCTTTTGCAGTGTTATACAAAAAACATTGCATGTTTGCAGAGGTAAATATTTAAAAACAAATTAAGAAGGAAAAATAAAAAATTGCATCTCTTCAATAAACCATTTGAGGCCTAATCCCACATTTATACACACACAGACGTGCTGTTACGAATGGTCCCAAAGAACACCACTGTATGAATGCTGATAACATAGATAAAGAAGTAATGCTCACAGAATCCATTTGGCTTGTGAAGGAAATGCAAGGAGGCAGAGCATTAGTTGAATATTAATTGTTGAGTTCACAACGTTTAAATTCCCAATCAAATTCATAATGCAGATTCAATCTCAAATTTCACATTGGAATTTGTGCTTCTGTGCTCTCTAGTTACATACAGAAGTCAATGTTAAGGGGCTCTGCAAACTCTTTAATGAATAACTGCAACAGCATAAAAACTACTCAGGTGTCATTCTGCCTACTTGTGCAGTATCTGACAACAGAAATTGTGTGTGATCACGAGGTTAGAGACATTCTGGTCTTTTTAAGAATCTTAAACTACCCTTAATTGTGAGAAACTTTTTAATGAAGGACATCTCAAGAATTCTAACCGAGATCTATAGATTTTATGCATGTTTTCAAACAAAGCTCACAAGATCCAAATCTATCTGCACTCAAAGGTGACAAATACTGCTAAAATGTACCAGTATGCGGCCTTTACCTGTCTCCACATCTGTTAGGTGCAGCATGGAATCAAAGCCGCCACTGAGGATCCTTCTTCCACAAGATGACCACTGGGCAGCTCGGACAGCACAGGAATGACAGGAAAACGTCCTCAAACAACCACCTGTGTCCACAGCATCCCATACCTTAAAAAAAGATAAGGGCAACTTGGATAGTTAAAAAAAGAATAATTTAAGTGTACCGATAACTAGCTAGAGCAAATCACTTTCTGACTAAGAAAGCTTTGCATTCCAAATGCATATCTGTTAAGCTGTAAATATCTGTTTGAAATAATTGCATGGTTGATTAGAATTAAGGCATTTTATTAACAAGGCATGAATATGTAATGCATTTCCATGACTTACTTTATTTCTTGAAACATCTCTATTGCTCTCAGTGGCATTTTGTGTTATAATTTCCCATCTATATTTCTGCTCTTCTGTTCACAGATGCATCTAAATACAGTTTCTCATGTTTTCTTTGAAGTTTTTTGCTTTTATCAGACCTTCCTAGCAGATTGCAGCTTCCACATCTGCCTATAAATGAGCTATAATCATATTTCTCAGTATTGCAGTTTGGAGTTTTAAGTAGAATTTGTCCTTAACTTTGCTGAGGAGTCATATAAGAATATCATCTTAGAAATATAAAGAAAGGATTGGCCTAAGCCCTCATTTTTCAGTTTATTTTGGACCAAATTAAATCAATGCTCAGCACTTCTGAAAATCTCATTCTAGTAGTTATCTGCTTATTTTTATGTAACAACTAACATTTACAGAATACAAATAGCTCAATTCATACTTTAAGAAGCATTTTAAAACATAAATCGTTTCCAACTAAGACATTTTAGAATACAGAACTTCTAGATGTAATTATAACTTCAATTACAGCTGTTATTTGGATTGTCTAATGAAATATATACCAACTTCTATAACACTAGTAAATCTTCAATTTTATTTCTTCTAATATTAATAGTACAAATAAGTCAACGCTTTGGTAGTGCTTCAAGACAGGTTTATTACAGTATCAGTCAGAAAGTAAAACCCAAACCAATTTACTGCTTTGAAGTCTCCATTTTACTTCACTGTACTTCTCTTGGTAATTAGTCATTTCCACCCTTCAAAAACTAGCATATTTTAAATAACATTGCTTATGAGCTTGGAGGGTTACTCTGAATTTTGTCTAATCTAATTAACTAAATTTTAAGATTGCTTATACAATACTGGGCACACATTAGGCAATTTGCAGAATATAAAAAAATGACCTTTTTAATAAGTGAGACCAATTTCTACTTTTAGATATGTCTACATGAGTCAGTACTGAATTACAATTGACTTGTGATTTTGATTTAAATTGATTTAAAATTTTGCCTTTTAAAATACGTTAAAACAATAACAATCCAGTAAATGCAAGAAAAAATAGGTATGTATATTGTAGCATCAGCACAATTCACAGAAAAACATATGCAAGAAAGGAGAAATGAAAACTTCTGGTCATGCATTTCTATTTTGAATTCTATTTTTCCTCACACTGGACAGAAAGGACGCAATACCATTATTAGACAGCCTATACTCAGAAGGCAATATTACATTATACAGAATTTTTTCATCCAAGGATCTTCTAGCACAGACAATACTTCTGCAACACAAAGTAATCAATTACTATTAATTACTTGAATAGCCCGTTAAGGCTGTAACTGTGATGGCCATATCCAAAAAAAGAAAAGAAATCAGGAAAATGTAATATTAAGCTGCTTTTGAAAGCAAGTTTCTCTGCTTTAACGAGTTTTAATGATCATTTCAAGCTTCATAGTATTAGAAAGGGTTAATTGCGTCTTGGAGTGCTTTTAGTATGAAGAAGCTAATGAATGAATCCAGATGAAAGGAAAACAGGTGGCACGTGCCTCAGATATTTTTCTGTCATGTCTCCCTGATTAAGTATGAAAACTTAATTTTCACAAGAAGGATGAAGTTCTTAGCACTAGCCTGATTAGGGAAAAAAAACAACTGTATAAATGGGAAAAGTGCAGCCTTAAAACTACACATTTTTCTCCACTTTTTGATTGACTCATATGGATGAGACTACCAACCACATACCAGGGGAAAGTCACTCAATAGCATATTTCTCCCTGCAATTATATTCTTTATCAGGTCCTTTTGCTCAAGCAAGAGCGGTGTTGCAATGCCTTCTGGTATCACAGCAACATGGACAAGGCAGACTTGACTGAGGACATTCACTTAGTTTACCTACCAATTAACATAGAATTGTGGACTCATAGAATCACAAGGTTGGAAAGGACCTACAAGACCATCCAGTCCAACTGTCCTCCTGCCACCATTGCTACCACAAGCTACTAAATCATATCTTGTAGCACCTCATCCAGATGCCTCTTGAACAGTGCCAGGGACAGCAACTCCACCACCTCTCTGCAGGCCATTCCAGTGTCTGACCACTTTCTGAGAGAAAATGTATTTCCTTACATCTAATCTAAACCTCCTTTGGCACAACTTTCCATTGTGGCTATTTGTTGCCTGGGAAAAGAGGTCAAACCCCTCCTCATCACAACTTCCCTTCAGGAAATTCTTTACCAGGACCATACGCATTGCAGGGGGTTGGAGCTGGAGGGGCTTTCAGATGCCTTCCAATCCAAGCCGTCCTATGATGATTCTATGATTCCCTTTCACATGTCCTCCCACTTGTCCTCATGTTTCCTCAAGTGTGCCCTTGCATTTTCTGCACATAGTGGTTGCCCCCATCCCTAGCAACAGCAGATGGGGTCTTCCTGAAGGAATTTTTCAAATCTTTTGTCTGGTGGCTGTACTTCAGTCTAACATTAACAGATTAGTGTGTGTCCCATTTCATCCGCAGAATAATTTCAAGTTTTTAAGTTTCCACTTTCATTTTCCCAGGACAAGGGAAGCTCTACTTGCTATTTGCAAGACAGATATTTGATATTTACAGTTAGCTCCTCAGCAATCACTTAAGGGACACAGTCATGCCCACAAAATGTCACATAAAGGTGAGCCATTGAAAATCAAGATACAAAAGTGCGTGCAGCACTGAAAACAAGGCAATTAAAGAACAAGCTTTGCACATTCTATACACATAAGAAATTACCAAAAAGTGGGAACTATGAATGCTTAACTGTAATCGAATGTCTCTAACCCAAGTGATGAAAACTCTCTGCGCTTGAAAGCAATAGAGATGTTAACTGAGCTATGAGCACAAATGGAAAACCTACTGCATGTCATCACCAAATTCCATTAAAGGATCATCACAAAGACGACATCATATTTGCATTCTTAAGTAGTTCTTCATTTGTGTGGTATGGTTTTTCCACTGCTTTATCAAAAGAAATTTAAAAAAAGGGGGGGGGGAGGGTTTTACTAACAAGAGAATTCCATATACTCCATCAAATGCTTCAGATGATTGCCAGCTCCATAGCTGGTGCTTATTCTCTATGGGCATCCACACACATTAAAAAAGGAAGGAGACTGCTGCAAAGGGATGAATCTTGTTTATGCAAGATCACTTCTCTCTGACAAACATTCAAATGTCAGATTAACAGATTCTCCAGGATGAAAAGTATTTTAGGGCTTTTCTTTTCTTTCAACCGCCTAAGAGATTGTTAAGTAGTTGAGGAATAATTTATGTGTAAGTCTTTCTAGATTTGCTTTCTTTGCTTTATTTATATGCTGGCTCAAGCCAGTATAGAACAATAAGGCTAAAATGAAAGTCTAAAAGACTGCATTGACGTATCCTGCAGAGCTGCAAAACACTCAACATGATGCCTGAACATGGAATCACATTCTCTAAATTACCATGGTAAATAATAAACAAACATCATTTAACATTTAATATCAGTTAATCATTTAACATCATTATTTAAGTGTAGAGCAAAACAATTGTGCTGGTTACAATATACCCACCAGAATTCAGCAACAATTTTTTTTTCAAGTCTTGATAAAAGATACATGACAAGAATTCCCTAGAAATAAAGGACTATTAAAACTCAGCATCTAAGAACAGTGTATAAAAGTCACTACTGTTATAACTACAGCTTTAATCTCAAAGAAAATGGTTTTAAGAAATTAATCATCTTAAAATTACTTAGATTTATTTTATATACCAAATATTGCTGACCTCTAGGCATACTAGTAATATAAACCTCTAACATAAAGCTCTATAAAACAAACTTACAGATTTACGTGAAATAAAGGATTACATATTCAATACATAATAAAATACTTAGGCAGGGGGACAGTTCACTAAAAATAAATACAGGCTGAGATATACATATTTTTCCATAGCTGTTTAAACATGTATGCCAACTATTATAGGACTAAATGCCATCACATATCTGTGTGGAAGGACAAATCTATATTCAATTATCTTTACCGAGAGATCAATTGTTTTAAGTGTTGCCGCTTCCTTCCAAAACTCAGTTCTTATTGACACTCAGTACTATTTCTACCTGAAATAAATTCTCATTAAATCTGAAGTTGCTCTTTTATGTTGTGATGTTAGGTGTGATTTTAATTGCTGAAATAAAAAGTTGAAAGCACAAATTTCAGCCTGCTACTCTGAAAACTTTCCGTCACATTTTCAAGCAACATTTTACATCATAAACCAGTAACCATCCATCCTTTCCCTTCACAAAGAACCCCCAAAACATTAAAATATGTGATTGCCATGAGTAAAAAGCATACATCATTGTATTAACTTCTTTAAATCTACGATTACAAATGAACTCTCCAAAATTTGAAAGAGAAACAGCCAAGATACAAAGATTTGAAATTAGCTAATTATTTTCAAAGATTTTCTTCAGTACATTTCTGGAATTAATGTATCATGAACACCTCAAACGCATTTTTTCCAATTTTGTTAAAATTGGCTTTAATGTGTCAAGCTCATTCATTTTTCACTATTAGTTCTTGCTCTTTTGCGATTCACTATTTATAACATCGCCTTTCCATTTCTTTCTCCATTGACTGCTTTCATCCCATTTCCTCTTCTATTATAGAAAGTATGGTGATTATATGGTTATCTGATAGGATTAATATAGAATGCCAAAATGGCAGGTATGAACTGCCAAGGGACAAATTATACCAGTGATATCATTTGAAAAAAATGTATATCTGATGGATTT